CCAGCAAACTGCGTCACCAGGTGTGGCTTCTTTCTAACAGATGTCACATGGGGACTGTGGTCCCTGGCTGGAGAGCGGAGACAGAGATGGTGACATGCAGGCAGGTCCCCTTGGTCACCCTGAATCTCAGACCCTCCACACTTGGCACCAGCAGCTCTGCCTCCCGCCCGCCTCACCCCCTCGGGTGCTGTCCTCTGGCCCCTGAAAAGGACAGGGAGAAGGCAAGGGGGAGGGGACTTCCTGTCCACACCCCACCCCCCGCCCGCACGGCCTTCCAGTCCTGGGGGACCTCTGCCGGGTCTCCCCCCCTGTAGGCTCCCCCAGGGCTCAGGGACAAGCTGGGTCCACCTGGAGGGGAGGCCACGGGGGAGGGGTCCTGCCCGGGGAGGGAGCAGGAGGCAATCATGGAGTCTCTTCCAGGCTGCCTCTGCCCAGCGGCCACCAGTGTCCCGGCTCCCTCTGAATGGCTCTGGAGGCCCCTCTGCAGCTGCCAGGGCAGCTTGGAAGTCAAGCCTGCAGGTCTGGAGTGGCCCTGGGGTGCACCCCGTGCCCCCGGTCACTCGCACCAGGAGCTTGGGGGGCCTTCGCCTGCTCCAGGGCCTCAGTTTTCTCATCAGTGAAATGGGGATGAGAACTTCCAACCCGTAGGCCAGAGGGGGGCAGTGAACTGTGTGGCCCGAGAGGGCCCTGAGGAGGACACTCAGAGCCGCGTCCTCTGGGCTTCCCCAGAAACGCTCCTGGACCAGGAGAGCAAGACCATGCAGGATGACCAGGGTGGGGGCAGCCAGGATCTGGGTGAGCTCTGAGCCCTGGGGGGGACTGCACCCCGAACTCTCCATAATGAGCTCATCTGGGGGAGGGCTGGGGCTCGTCGGCCACCTCAAGTGCTGGTCACATGTCCCTCTCTGTGCTGGGAACTGGGGGACCTGGGATGTGAGAGGTGCAGCTTCCTCCCCGATCAGGGCAGGGAGGGGACCCAGCCAGCTGTCGTCGAGAAGCTTAGGCTGACAAGGGACCTGTGGCCACGGCTGTCCAGGGCCCAGAGTTCTGCCTCTGCAGGCCCACCTGCAGCCACGGAGACTCACCGTCCCCAGTGGGGTTGTGCTCGTCCTCGTTTGGCAACCCCCGATTCAGGCTACTGAGCCCCGTGCAAATGTCACCTCACTCCTAAGCACTCCCTCAGAGGGAGGGACCCACCTGTGTGGCTCCGCCCCTTTGGGTCCCCAGGAAATGACCACCGCCCTCTCCTACGTCACTGACCACAGCCCACCACCTCGTCCATCCCAGCCGGGCCCCTGCCTCTGGTTCCTGCAGCTCTTCTGCCCCGCGGTCTCCAACGCTGAGGGCGGTAAGCAGGACCCTGTGCTCACCTTCTCTGTGCAGAGATCCACGCACTTGTCCACAGACATGTTGGGCATGGCGGCTGTCACGGGCAAGGCCAGGGAGAGGTTCTCAGGCCGGTGGAAGCAGCCTCGGAATACTGCACTCCCATCTGAAGACCAGGAGGGGAAAAACATAGTCAGACCTAACGGAGTCAGATCTAGATGGGAGAACCACCTTCTAGAGGAAGCTCTTGGAAGTTGAAGCCCAGAGAGGGCAAGAGTCTTGCCTAAGATCACACAGCAAGTCAAAACAGAGACAGAAAGAGCAATTGCAGCTTTTGCTCTTGAACAGGACTGTTCACAGTCAATGCGCCATGTAATGGAAAGGACGTTCTTCTGGGTGCTGGCATCTTTGCTAACAATCTGGGTCCCTGAGGTGAATTTCCTCCTGGGTCACTTTACCCTCTTCCCTTCAGCAGCACGTGGCTGTGTGTCATTTCCTCCTTCACGGTGGCCAAGCCCCTTTTGGGGAAGTGACAATCCATGGAGGACTTTCCTGATCCCATCAGGAGATGGTGGAGCATTCGAGGCTCAGAGGAAGCGGAAGGCCTGTCCTTCCTCCTGATTGCCAGGGGCCCTGTCCCTCCCCTCCTCCTGGGCTTCAGGGACCTTGGGAATCCCCTACTGAGGACTGAGCACCTTCAGGCTGCAGGGGGTGCTGTGTCGGGGGACGCCCTGTGTGGCCATTTGACCTGGCAACGTGCCAGCCACACAGTAGCCAATGTGGAGGCCACTGGTATCTCAGGAGAAGTCACCTCCTAGCAAACATTCAGAGACGATGTCCTCGGCTTGTCCCCTGGACGTGTCACTGTACTAAGGGGCTCTGGGTGGGCACCCATGGCACCTGGGAACCGCGAGGTCATCCCTACAGCCGTGCAGAGCCTTACCAGTAAGGACGTTCATTCTGTTGAACTAACACGTGAAAGACTGGAAACAACAGAGCTGTCCAACAATGAGGGATTAGACAAGTAAAATACGTAGCCACACCAGCGGTGGGATTCTATGCCGCCATCGAAAGTAATGGTGCTAAAGCTTATTTTAACCAGGTAAAGATGTGTTTGGATACAACAATGGATGAAAACCAAGAATATAAAGTTTCACCTATCACAAAATGTCAATTTTGTAAGGAAAAAAAAACTATCAATAGAAATCTCCAGAGGGACATATAATAACCATGATGTTTCTGGAAAGTGTGATGGGTAAATTTTCTGGGTTGATTTGGCGGGCCCCAGGTGCCCAGCTGTTTGGTCCCACCATCTAGATGTTGCTATGAAGGTACTGTGTAGATGTGATCAACACCTACAATTATTTGACTCTAAGTAAAGGAAATTGCTCTTGACGATATGGGTGGGCATTGTCTAATCAGATGAAGGCCTTAAGTCTTATAGCTGAGGTTTCCTGGACAGGAAGACATTCGATGTCAAGACGGAACAAAGCCCTCACTCCTGCCTGTTTCCAGGCGTCTGTCCTGGGCCACCAACTTCAGGCTTGCTAACACCCACAATTATGTGAACCAACTCCTTAAAAACAGATCTAATAGGCACATACGTCCACACAGCCAGTCGGTTCTACATCAGAGAACTCAGATCCCTTAGGGTCAGAGGGAAATTTTCTTTCTATCTCTGGGCTCGACTCCTTTCTAACTCTTTCTATGAGGTCTAAAGACAAATAAAAACTAAGAAGTGGCCCCTGTCAAATTTGCATCATGCACTTTTAAAATTAGCCTCAGTTATTTCTCAGATCTTGAGTTGAATGACTTTCCCAGAAGCAGCCATCACATAAAACAAAGGACACTGTGACATCGTGTGCATCTAAATCAGAGCACAAGAACAGGTGCCCATTATCAAGTCCCTACTAGGGGTGGTTCATTATGATGAGGACTTTTTTTTTTTGATACCAAGGGGTCACTTAACCAATAAGCTTAACCCCACTTTTACTTTTTATTTAGAGACAGGGTCTCACTAAGTTGCTGAGGCTGGCCTCAAACATGCGATCCTCCTGCCTCAGCCTCCAGAGCCCTGGGATCACAGGCGTGCACCACCACGCCTGGCCGCTGAGCACTTTTGAACCATCAGCTGTTGCCACTCTCTTGAAAACTGGGCAAAGTTCATGGAAACTCATTTCACAGATGACAGAAACAGGACTTGGAAGAAATTAAGGAGCCACTGTTTGCAAAACCTTCTTGAGGCTCATCTCAGATACAACTGTCAGCCCTTGGAAAGAGCAAAGCCAACTGCAAAAATCCAGAAGCCTCCGTCTCTGTGGGATCGGGTGTATCTCAGTATAGAACTTGACACTTTTGAGCGCACACACACATATATTTATATTTATGTGCAGAAAATAGGATACGCAATGCCTCCCTGAGCAGAAGGATGGGGGTGTGTACCAACGATGCTTTCAAATTTTAGCCACCAAAGACACCCGAGTGATTATTTTTACCACCCGACACCTGGCAGCCAGAGGTCCTTTACTGCCGTGCCAAACCACACTAGGGACAGCTGATTTTGGTTCCATGGCTAATTTCTGGAGCAGGCTGCAGGCAGCGCATGCACTTCTAGCAGACGCTCCCCGACTCTGTCCCCAGCCTGGTGAGGGAGCGGCCATCAGTGGCAGTGATGGCCAAGATGCTCCAGACTCCCCCCCCCCGCTCCCTCCAGGTTTCAGTTTCCCCCACACAACTGGCAACGAGGGGTCTGACATTTCAAGGACTGTCACACCTGCTGTCCAGGAAAGCCTGGAGATGCCTCTGACTGCCTCAGTGTCCCCGGGCCGCACTGGCAGTTGGAAGGCTGGACTGTCCTACGGTCCCCACCCAAGGATCCTGACTCAAATGCCCCGTGGCTGCCCAGGGGGAGCCCCGTTTCTAATGCTCATAGAATATGCCACGCGGGGCACTGAGGAAGGACGTCCCCAGCGGGGTGACCACCCTCATCGCCCCAGGAAGCTCAGTGGGCGGAAGGCCAGCTGGGGACAGAGGGCGGTGAGATGCTGCCTTTGCAGCCCGCAGTGCTCAGGGGACTCCGAAGCCAGGCTCCGCGGGGGCTGCGGGGCCCCCCGTCTTCTCCCCAGCCCGTGAGAAAGGGGTCTTGTCCCCAGCTCATCCTCCAAGGTGGGTCCTTCCCTGTGTCCCCTCCCACAGCTCCCCAAGGGGCCTGAGGCCCTCGGATCAGGACAGCGCAGCCTGGGCAGGGCGACGGGCTTGTGGGCACGTGGGCGGCTGCGTCCCTCTGCGCAGGCGGCAGGGAGCTGGGGGCTGGATGACCGCCCGACGGCTCCGAGGGGGCGATCCGGGGTCCGGACGTGAGGCTGCTAGTGCGTCTGGCTGTGCACAGAATCTGAGCGCCAGCGTGTGTCCCCGTGTGAGTGTGGCAGCGGGACACGGAGCCTCCCACTGGGCATGTGGGTGCTAGACACTGGGGCCCCGTGATCTCCTGGTCATCTGGGGCTGTGGGTGGCTGTGCCCACGGGCCTGGCAGGTCTCCTGGCAATGGGTGTCCAACGGCGCCGCCTGCTCTTGGCGGACACTGGGTGGTTGTCATCACTCCACCGTGAGGCCAGTCTCACCACCAGGGGTTGTGCACGTGGACACATGACCAGGTCCTCTCCGGGTTGCCTGGCAACAGTTAGCTGAGGAGGGCTGCCGGCCTCCTAGCACAGGGTGAGGCTGAGCTTCAGCTGACCTCCCGCATCCTGCCAGTTCAGTGCCACCAGGGCTTGGCATTTCCCAACAATCCCCCAAGCAGCTGGCGCCTGGTTGGGACAAGATGTCTACTTCCCCAGAGCAGGGACAAGGCACCCGACAGACAGGAACAGCAGGGGTGGGGATCAGCCCAGCAGGGTCTCTCCCCAGGAAGCCAAGAGCTGGGGGACAATTATGCCCGATTCAGCTTGCAGCCAGGGACAACTGGTGTCTGTGTAGCATGCATCTCGGGTGGTCTTTGGGGTCCCCTTGCTGATTTGGGTCCTCCTTACTGTCACTGGGAGTCACTCTGGCAGACATGACTTTGGGTAACTGAAGGCACCAGGGCATCAGCAGGGTCCCATGCTCTTCATCTGGGGTCCCATGGCCAAGTGCTCTGCCCTCCCCACTTCCCTTTCCTGGGCTCAGTCTGACAGGGCCACGTCAGCATGCATCTCCGATGGCCTTGAGTGGCCCAGCCCCAACGCAGGGCCCTGGAAGGTCTTCCAGCTGATGCCACACCAGAAGGCCACGAACCCTTCATCGTCACCTGGAGAACAAGAAGCTGTCCTCCATGAAGCTCCTACTGGCAACTGCACGCCCCTCGCCTTTGATCGGGGGCAAGTTCCCTGCCTTCCAGAGCCTCGGTGTTCTCACCTGTAGAATGGGAGCAGGGGAGGGCTCCTAGCTTAGTAAAGAAGAGAAGGGACAGGCCGACTTCGCTGCCCAGTTCTGCAGAGATTGGTCACCTCTGACCTTTAAGCAGCTGCTAAGGAGCCCCTGAGTACCAGCTCCTTGAGGTGGGCCCCCTGAATGTCCTGAGTACCAAAGCAGGTGAGGTTTTCAGAGGCCTTAAAGGGCTAGAGACCATCAGAAGTGACTGCTGGGTGTCTCTTTGGTCAAGGTGTGTGCTGGGGTGGGGGACAGGGGACAGTTAGGGAAGTGAATCCAGGATGGGGAATCTTCCCGCCGTCTGCTTGGGAGGTGGGGGCAGAAACCAGGGATCCCGGGCAGCTCTTTGTCTTTGCCGGTGGCTCTCCACAGCATCCTGATGATCTGGGTGTTGAGAACAGGATCGGCGGCCCCGGCATTTGATCTCCCACTTCCCTCCATCTGGAATATGGGCCACCTGGCTGTCTCCTCCAGGGGTGAGACGCTCTCTTCTCTGAGAGTGAAGTGGCCAGGGCATCCCTCGGCCTTTCTGACATTCTCCTGTGGTGTGAAGACATTTGGACCTTGCAGCAGTGAGAAGATGCCTTCTTCTCTGCAGAGGGCTCTGGATCCAGCAGGAAGGGCATCTGCTTAGGTCACGCACACGCTCAGCTGTGTGCCTTGGGCAGGTGTCTTCACCTCAAGGAGTCTCCATTTTCCTCATCTGTGAATGGGGCTCATCAGGTGGACGTACCCTGGCCAGATGGGGTGGAAGTCCCTGCAATGGCACTTACGACTGTCCGAGACTCAGCAAGTGCTGTGTTCCTTCCTGTTCCCTTCCCCATGCCTTGTCCATGGTGTGTGAAGATGGCTGGATCCCACAGAGGGGACACTGTCATAGCCCCTGTTCATATGCATGCTCCATTCCAGAATGGGCTGCCGGTGACCGTGACTCTCTGCCTTAGGGCCCGTGAGGGACAGGCTGGACCTACCAGAATTCACCCTCAGCTCATGGGTGGGAGCTGAGGAATAGAGATGGCAGCCGGCTGTCCCCTCAGGTGGGACACCTGCCTCCCAGGGCTCTGCAGGGGGATTAGGCTTCAGCTGTCCTCAGAGGTGGCCTGCATTGGGAAGGACCTTCCTTCTTCTCCTGGCCCCTTCCCTGTCCCCTACAGGTGCACACTGACATCATCTCCCAGGGTCGCCCAAGGCTCGCGCGCGTCCTTGCATCTGGGGAAACCCAACTGAGCCCATCTTGGATCTCTGAGCATTTGTAATTCATAAGGAAAATCCTTCACAAAGTTCAGGGACTAGTCCTTCCTGGGGTTGTACCTTCCATAGCCCTGGGCAATACCAGTGGCTCTGAGTGGCATCTTCCCAATGACCAGCCCTCACTGAAGCTGAACAATAATGAAAACCCTAACAGCTGTTCCTTGGTGCTGATCGTGCTCCACTATATCTCAGTTAATCTCTGCAACAACCTCTGAGGTTGACGATACTATGATCCTGTGGTTCAGGCAGAGCCCCGGGGACCTAGCAAGATCTGATCACTCTACCAGGTCACCCAGCCAGTGGGGGGCAGAATCGGGATGTGACCCCAATCTCGTTGGACACCACATCCTCACTTCCCGCCTACAGGGGGCTGCCCAACCCTAACATGCTGGGGCTCCAAAGACCCATGCCCACAGCAGGAGTGCGAGGCTTGCAGAAGCCTGTGCCCCACATTCTGACACTACCAGCTCCCTGGCGGGCCAGCGGGGACAGGGTGTGACCTCAGCTGCCCAAGCTTTTTACTAGCATGAGGCGAGGGGCAGACGAAGAACAGCCCAGAACCAGTGGCCAGTCCCTCTGAAGTCCTCTCATCTCTTTGTTCTGGGGCTTCCCCAAAATGAGAGAAATGTCAGCAGGCATCTGCTTAGAGGCAGGCTTGGGGAGTCCTCCTGGGTTTGAAAGAGGCCACCCCCCCCCTGAGTAATTAGGCCAAGTTCGAGTGCATTAAAATGCTGTTGACGAGGAACAGCCGAGAGCTGGAAGCCGCTCCCGGCCACCTCGCTACCTAGCATCAGCAAGAGACTGAATCACACAAAGAGGCTGACGGTCTGAGGAGGATGCGATCTGGCTATTTTTAGACATCCCAGAGGCGCCCGCAGGCTGTTGGAAACTGGAAGAGCCAGAATTGGGTGATTCTCAGAGTAGAATGGGGGTCTTCATGAGGAAGAAGGGGCAGCATCTGCAACAGGCCTTGCACTTGGTGCTTTCTAGACTTTATCCCACTTGACGTCAGAGCCATTGTGAAAGGTGGGGAAATGTCTCCATTTTACAGACGAAGCAACTGAGGCTCACCATAGCTCAGTGGCTTGGCCAGAGTCAGGACAGCAAGTCTTGCATAAAAACAAGGTCTGCAGGCCCTGCTCCCAAAGCCATAATAATGCCTTCCTGAATTTGTGTTAGGAGAAAAGAAAGAAATCAAGTCTCAAGCCAGATATGGTGGCCCACACCTGTCATCCCTGTGGCTAGGGAGGCTGAGGCAGGAGGATCTCGAGTTCAAAGCCAGCCTCAGCAAAAGTGAGGCCCTCAGCAACTCAGGGAGACCCTGTTTCTAAATAAAATACAAAATAGGGCTGGGGATGGGGCTCAGGGGTCGAGTGCCCCTGAGTTCAACCCCTGGTACCCCCAAAACAAAACAAACAAAACCCCCAAGTCTCCCCCACTGTGATACAGAAGGAGGAATATTTTCTCTTTTCCCCTTGTTTCTACACAGGGAACCCGTGAAGTCTCGTATGAGTTATGAAATTCAGGAGTTGTAGACAAATGTTGGGGTGGGGTTGAGGACTGGAGATGAGATTTCCTGGGTCGCCTGAGCCCCCCTCAGCAGAGGTGTTGATTGGAGGAGCTGTGAGCATGAAGGACAAGTCTGCACTCAATTCTCATGACCTTCAAAACCCACAAGTGGCCAACAGTAACCACCCTGCACAAAGTCCATCATGGAAGCCGTGAGCACGAAGCAGAGATCTGTATTTTCCCAGCGAGGGTGCCAGCTTCATAAGGCTCCATCGAGATAGCTGAAAGGGTAAGAAGAAAGAAGGCTGAGGCCCGGAGACGCCGGATTGCGGGGCTCCTGGTTACAGCCCCACGGAAGGGCAGTCAGCACCATGGACAGCCGCCCGCGGGCCGGACAGCTTGCTGCGCAGCGTTCTTCCATCGCGACCCAAATCTGCAAGACTCTTTGAGGCCAGTGACTATTCTTGCAACATGCTATGAAATCATAATGTTCACGAATCCATCAGGTGTCCCTCTCCGGGAGAAGAGCCTCTCTTGCAGACACAGTTAGCAGACGACTGTGAAAAATGGAGTCCAGCCTGGCACGGGTGGCGCACCCCTGTCATCCCAGCAGCTTAGGAGGCTGAGGCAGGAGGATCGCGAGTTCAAAACTGGCCTCGGTAACTTAGCGAGGCGCTAAGCAACTCAGTGAGACCCTGTCTCTAATTAAAATACAAAAGAAAGGGCTGGGGATGTGGCTCAGTGGTTAAGTCACCTTTGGGTTCAATTCCTGGTATTAAAAAAAAAAAAAAAGACTCCAATCAAGAAGGAAGTCCATTTCCTGGTTCTTTTGTAACCAGGCAAAGAGCCCCAGTGTCCAGGAGTCTGTGTGAAGGGAGAGCAGCAGGTGCCTGCAGATATTTGCTCTGCCAGCCTTTGGTGCTTTAGCTAACTAAAGCACCCTGTGGCCTCAAAAACATGTTGCCGGGCTCCCTACCCAAGGCAGACACCCAGTCATCAAAGTGTTGGGGACATAAGAAGCCGCCTTTGGATCTTCAGGGAAAACCATTAGGAAACAGCGTTAATACGGAGGAGTGACTCTACACACAGGAGCTGTCCCCTGCGCCACCTGTTTCCTGAAGCACCGGCTCACTTCTCCTTCTGATGTGATACAAGCTAGAGTTGTGTGACAGTGACTTGGAGGGCAATCTCTTTCTGATTTATTTATGTATAAAACAGATCCCGGGCATGGAAAGTCAGAGAAAAAAAACATCGGTGGTTTCATGTTGCCTAGAGTCGGGGAGCAAAGCAGAAGGAAGGCTCAGGGGTTGGGAGCAGGAGGAGTTCAGCTGGGGCTAAGGAGTGACCCCCAACAAAGAGGAAATGGGATCCTGAATCCAATTCAAGGAGTCAGGTTGTCCACAGTACTGTGTTGAGTGAGCACCCAAACTGGGAGACTGGGTTCCTGCCCATGATCAGTCACTATGAGGAGACATGGCTTTGGAAAAAAAAGAAAATCACACCTGCCCATTATTTCCAGAAATGAAATGACCTCGGGGTTTCTGCACACACCACTTCCTTGGTCTGGATCTCCTCTCCCTATCCACTGGGCATGACCTTATGCATTTTTTGAGGCCCCTATACAAAGCCTCTTCTCTTTGGAGCCCCTCCCCACAGGGCTGTTCAGCTGAGCCACTTAGGCTGAGTTTCTCTAGGTATAAAATGAGACATCATGGAGGTGTTACCGAGCCACCAAGGTGCCACTGAGCCACATCCCCAGCCCTATTTTGTACTTTATTTAGAGACAGGGTCTGAGTTGCTCAGGGTCTCACTAAGTTGCTGAGGCTGGCTTTGAACTCGAGATCCTCCTGCCTCAGCCTCCCAAGCCACTGGGATGACAGGCATGCCCCACCGCACCCCAGCAAACAATGAGTTTATAAAATATGAAATTCACATAGAGGAGGACTTTTTATGCAAACAGAGGTGTAACTGTCTGTCTGCATTCTAGGAGAGATTTGCTGAGATCAAGCCTCATTATTCAAAGTTGGTCCATGGGCCAGCAGCCTGGCGTCACACGGGACTCCTTAGAAATGCAGAATGTCCCTGGCTTGCTGACACAGAAGCTGAACAAGGTCTCTGGGGCCTCTCAGACATGTTCCAATTGGGGAAGCGCAGGCCACAGGGCTAGAGGGTTTCACTGTGGAGCTCTGTCCTGTCTCTGGTTCAACTGCCCGAGAGGGTAATCCCAGCCTCCCACTCCTCGTCAAGCCCAGTAGATCTTTTAATAGGTCTGAAGGTCATCTGTCACTAGACTGTGTGACCTTTGGCAAGTTCACTGTAATTTTTTCTGTTCCCTCGCTGTCGATGGGGATAATTAACAATGGCAGTGACCCGAAAAGCCTGTAGGGAAGGTAAGTAAAACCAGGCCTGCCCGAGGCTTAGCAGAGACCTGGCAGATGTTTGACAGATCCTTACTAACTCTCATTAAACAGCCCTGACCCTCAGGAAGGGGGCCACGTGGGACAACGTCCCGAAAGCAGGAACTGGCTCGCTCTGCAAAGGTGCGGGAGGCGGGCTGGGCGGCACAGCAGTAGCCTCTGGGTGATGGGGAGCCATGGGAGGCGGGGGGCAGACAGAGGGCATGGGACCTGCAGAGGCTCTGCAGGCAGGGCTGGGCCCAGGGGTGTGGCCAAGGGAGGAGCCTCAGATGGGGTGGGTCCAGGGGTGTGGCCAAGGGAGGAGCCGCAGATGGGGCGGGGCCCGGGTGTGGCCAGGGGAGGAGCCGCAGATGGGGTGGGTCCAGGGGTGTGGCCAAGGGAGGAGCCTCAGATGGGGTGGGTCCAGGGGTGTGGCCAAGGGAGGAGCCTCAGATGGGGTGGGTCCAGGGGTGTGGCCAAGGGAGGAGCCGCAGATGGGGCGGGGCCCGGGTGTGGCCAGGGGAGGAGCCTTGGACGGGGCGGGGCCGACTCACGTACACCTGCGGGCCGACTCCTGCGCCAGCTGCAGCCGGTAGACCGAGAGGCGGTTGGCGCCACCGCACACGCTGCCCCGCTCGCCCTTGCACTCCATGTCGCACTCGGCCTCGCTCACGTTGGCCGCCTGGATCTTGTGGCCGCAGTAGCACTCGGCCCCGAACTCCAGCCCGGCGTACAGGTAACCCCTAGGGGAGGCCGCTGTCAGGTGGGGGAGGCTGCCACGGGGAGACCCCGCCACTGCAGACCCCGCAACAACAGACCCCGCCAGCGCGGAGACCCGGTGGACAAGGGCCTTCAGGACACAGAGGCATCCCAAGGCCATCAGGAGACCCCTGGGGATCCTGGAGAGGGGGACTCCAGGAGACTCCTAAGAGGAGTCAGGGAGGCTGGGGAGTTCCAGAGCCAGGAAGAAAGAAAAGAGGCCCTGAGGTCAGAGAAACCCAGGAAGGGAACTGGAGCACCCCAGGGACCACCCACCTGCCCTCTCCGCCACGCCCACCGTCACCCCTGCAGAGCCCCCACCACAGCGTACAATCACACATGCGCCCAGACTCTGGTGCCCTCCCCTGGTCCTCCCTGTCTGGGGACCGGGGACATTCAGTTCCCCAGAGCCCCGCCTCTTTATTCCAGGAAATGTCACTCAGAAATGATGTGGCTGTGTCTCTAGAGGAGCTGGGGCCAGGGGAGGAGCAGAGACTCTCCTTTCCTTTGGAAGATGGCAAAACTAGCTCCAGACCCAGCCAAGGGAGAAATTCCTTCCCCTAAAACATAACAATCCAGGCACGCTTCGATTTTTAATTTTTTTTCATAAGCATGAAATCCTTTCCTAAAAAGGATGCTCAGGGGCTCCACAGTCTAGGAACAAATGACGGTCCCTGCTGGCTCGGGTCCCAGGCCTGGGGGGCTGGGGAGGGGAGGAAGACCGGCCCTGCTCAGCCCCTTCATCCACGCTGGCCTCTGAGATATGGTGGTCTCCGGGAGCAGCCTGCAAAGTACTGGACACCCGAAGAGCAGCCTGCAGGGACCGTGTGCTCACGTATGGCTGGGGTGGTCCTGGATGGAGAGACATGCCCAGCCAGGCTGGTGGCCCCTACATGCCCCAGCAACTTGGGGTAGAATGTGGCATTGCCACAGCCACCTGCTCACCTGGGCAGGAGGGGCAAGAGCGTCTCAGGTGAGCTGAGCATCTTGGGATGTGACGCCCAGCACAATCCTGGGGCCGCGCCAGCCCCCCTCCTCTGCCTGCCTCAGCTCCCTGTGTCTCAGGCCCTGCTTCTCAGGTGTCCTGTGTCCTCTTTTTTTATGATGGTACCCACTGATAGAAGCAGCCTTTTCCAAGAACAGGGCCCAGCAGTGTTGCCAAATCCAAAGCAAGAGGGGCCTCACCCCTCAGAGGCCCGAAGGATGGAGGCCCCGGTGGGTCAGGGAGACCCACCCAGGAGAGGGTCCAGCTGCTCTGGAAAGAAACGTGCCAGGGAGCGTCCTGGGTCAGGAGGGTGGAGGTTCGGAACTGTATCCGCAAATTCTGAGCCACTCCGTTCTTTTAAAGATGGAGCTTAGTCCTCCTCCCCTGGAGCTGGGACTCCACTTGGAGACTCCCAATGAACAGAACGTGGCAGTGGAGACGGTGCTATGAATTTGATCCCAAGTGTCCTCCAGAGTGTTGAAGGCTTGGTCCCCAGGGTGGTGCTGCTCGGAGGTGGTAGAACCTTGCAGGGGTAGAGCCTAGCCAGAAGTCCTTAGGTCACTGGGGACATGCCCTGAAGAGAACCGTGAGGCCCAGCCCGTTCCTCTTCCTCTCCTTTCCTGACCAAGAGGTGAGTGGCTTTGCTTCTTCATGTGCTCCACATGGTGTGTTGCTCCCCACAGGCCCAAAGCAACAAGGCCCATTAGTCATGGTCTGGAAACTCCAAAACTGGGAGCCCAAATAAACCTTTTCTCTTTATAAGCTAATTGTCTCAGGTATTTTGTCACAGTGACGGCAAGCTGACGAACCCAGATGGCAGTACCTTCCAAGGTGCTCTGGGTTTGATTATGGTTTGAGTGTCTCCCAAGGGTCCATGTGTCAAAGGCCTGGTTTTCCAGGGTGGTGCTATTGGGAGGTGGTGGAGGCCTGGTGAGAGGTCTTGGGTCATTGGGGGTGTGCCCGTGGAAGGGATTAAGGTAGTGCTCAGGGGACCCTCAGTAGTTCCTGTGAGTTTAAAAGGAGCAAGCCTGGACTTTCCCTCTCTCTCTGCTTCCTAGTTCAGGCTCTGATGTTTCTTCCCCATACTCTACTGGGAGTACCAAGGAAACTCCTATTCATCCTTCAAAACCTCACTCAGGGTCTTACCTTTGTAATCCATCCCCAGGCCCCCGTGTGGAGCCCCCCACCCCTTCTGCCTTCAGATCTCCACCGTACAGCACCCATCATGCTCCGTGTGTCTACACCCCAGATTGCCCATCTGTAGAATGTGGTCCCTAGCACCCCTGCCTCATGGGAATCATGTGCTGTTGAAGAGTTAGGAACTGCAAAGTGCTTTGGGACAGTGCTCGGCAGGAGCAAGTGCTTCCTGGGTGGACACGCTGCTGCTCTATAGGTCAACCTGTTGGTGCCTCGGCTTCCCCAGTGAGATGGGGGGCGCCCCATGGGCAGGGCTGCAGTTGCCTGGGCCCCGACCCCAGCTCGTGTGCACAGCCAGCAGATGCTCCCTGAGCTGAGCGGAATTCCCACAGCGGCCCCAGGGCTCCTTGGCTGTCACCCCCGAGCGGCCTCTCCGGACCTCTGGGTGGCAGGGCCTCTCTGCTATCCAGCTCCCGCGGTGACACGTTGCAACCCTAGCTCACAGGTTGCCCCGTGTACTCGTCTGTCCCCCGTCTAGGCTGGGAGCTCCCGGGGCCAGGGGCTCTGGGGAACCACCCCCATCTCCCCACAGATTGGCAAATAAATTAGCAAATCCACATCCTTGATCCCGTGGCCCTTCCCAAGCTGGACAGGGTCCCGGGCTTGTGACTTTAATGGTGGGCTTCTCAGGCAGCTCATTATAAAGGGGACAGTGTGTCCTAGTCAGGGACTGAAGCGAGAGTCCCTCCCTGGCTACCCATTTCTGCATTAGTATGTGGCCAGCGGAGCTTGTGACCATCAGTCAGCTGGATGAAATGTGGCAGTGAGCGGATTCAAGGTCACCTTGTGTGCCACCCAAGGCTAAGGGTCCCAGGAGACAGGGGAAAAGATGAAGCCCATGGCACCCCAGGGTCCTGACCCTGTTTACTGGTCATACATGGACTTATCTGCTCTTAAAAAGGTAAGGAGGTGCACGCCTGTCACCTCAGTAGCTCAGAAGGCTGAGGCAGGAGGATGGCGAGTCCAAAGCCAGCCTCAGCAAAAGTGGGGTGCTTAGCAACTTAGAGAGGTGCTGTCTCTAAATAAAGTACAAAATAGGGCTGGGGATAGGGCTCAGTGGCCCAGTGCCCCTGAGTTCAACCCCTGGTGTACCCATCCAAGTCAACTCTCTCTCCCCCCAATGCACATTCTTTTTTGTACAGGGATTGAACCAGGGGCACTTTACCACAGACCCACATTCCCAGCCCTCTTTATTTATTGTTTTGAGACGGTGTCTTGCTAAATTGCTGAGGGGGCCTCCAACTTGTGATCCTCCTGCCTCAGCCTCCCTAGTGGCTGGGATAACAGTTATGGGCCACTGCTCCTGGCCCCTCGGTGCCCACTCTAATCAAACTCATTCTATCCCCTTGTTCCTGGGTTGGGGATCCTGTCTGAAGAGCTGAGTGTTTCTCCTTGGGAGAGAGGCCAGATACCCCCATTCCCAAGCCCTCGCCTCCCCCTTCTCACGAGCTCCGTGTGTATAGTGCGCACGTGCACACGCCCACCCAGTCCTCACCCCTGTGCGCCGTCACCTCAGTGCGTGTGTGGGCAGTGCCATCGGCTACCTGGCCACGGTGCGCGGCTCCAGCCCGCGACCTCTACTAGAAGATCATCAGGCGCCACCACTGCGCTCCCCAGTGTCGCCAGCCAGCCCCACTCTGCACACCAGGCACTGGCTCCTGGGCTCACATCACACCCGCGGCCACCTCTGGACAGTCTGCTAGTACACGCATGCGCACACGCTCGCCTGCAAGCCGCCCTCTGTGCTCACCCCCCCCCCACTCTGGCACAGCAGGAGGAAGAAGGGAGGGACCCCAACAGGTGGATCTGGGGACGCGGGGACCTACCGTTCGGCGCAGTTGTCCTGGCAACGGAAGACTGTCATCTTCTTGTAGTCGAAGAAGGACACGCCCCTCAGGGCGCGGCTCTGGGTGTCGTCCAGGTAGCAGCCGATGTACTTGGCTTCGGGGGAAAGGAGAGAAGTCAGATGTGGGGACAGGAGGAGCCTCAGGCTGGCTGGCACGGTGGCCTGGCTGGGTGTTGGGGACCGATTCCTTCCTCCCGGGCCTCGGTGGAACCTGGTCCAGGAGGGGCCGCGGTCCTGGAGGCCAGCAGGGGACAGCAGGGAGATGCAGCAGAGCCCCTGGGTCTCCTGGTGACATTGGGGCACCCAGAAACCCAAGCCAAGGCCATCCCCGAGCCACCCTGGATGAGGCCCTACTAAGCAGCTCTATGGGCTAAACAATCCCTTTGGGCCATCGCAAGACGCTTCTTTAGGGTGGGCATGAAACTAACAGCCCAGGGAGGTCTAGAGGAATGTGTGTGGAATTGTCTCCCCCATGGTCCTGCATGTCAGAGGCGCAACGTTCAGGTAAATGGATTCAGTAACGGGCCATTCACAGTGTTGTGTAAGGAACTTTACAGTTTGTCTCTATGGTGGGTCAAGGTGAATTCTCCCATCCAAAGGACAATTCCAAACTATATAAAATAACCATCTAGCTATAAACCATGCACTTAGTTTTCTTAAACACTTTCCTGTACTTCATGGCAAACAGTGAACTCTCATGCACAAAGGGCAGGACTTTACAGTTTATATAAACTCTTTTCCTTTTTTTAAAATTTTTTTTTTTTGAACCCAGGGGCTCTTAACCACTGAGCCACATCCCAAACTCTTTTTTTTATATTTTATTTAGAGACAGCATCCTGCTAAGTTGCTTAGGGTTTACTAGGTTGCTGAGGCTGGCTTAGAACCCATGATCCTCCTGCCTTAGCCTCTTGAGCTGCTGGGATTAGAGGCTGCACCACTGCACCCGGCCCCATTATTTCTTCAAAATTACTGTTATTATTATTATTTGGATATGCGCTTTGGTAAGTGGTTCATGCACATTGTCTTCATTGGATCTTTAAAATAATCTCATGAGAATATTATTCCCATTCTATACAGAACAGGACACCAAAGCCCAGAGAGGGTAAGTCTTTGCCCAAAGTAACAGAGCTTGTACATAGGAAGCCGGAATTGGACCCAAGCAGTCTGGCTTCAGAGCCCACGTTCTGAACTTCTTGCTTCTTGAATGAGGGGATCTTTTCAATGCCCCATGGGTAGCGGGAAGCACCATGGTCCTCACGCTCTTATTAGAGGCCCAGAAAGGTGTCCTGCCTGAACAAAGCCTCCTCAGTCAGGTCCGGGGCACCCACACCAGCTCTCCCCACCGCTGCGCTCAGACGCACCTGGAGGCGGGACCGTGGATCCAGCCGGTGGGAAAGACCAAGGGAAATGCTAAGGACCCCTTGACCCCTTTCCCTGCTGAGAATGCTGTCCAGTCTACACCGTGCGCCCTCCCCTCCCCTGTCTTGTCGTGAGGAGCAGGTCTATCTGAGGACGCCATCCTGTCACAATGGACTGTCAGGCCCCTTGCCGCTCCCCTGCCAAGAGCAGCATTTCCCAGCGCTGCAGGAGACGCGCCGCCATCCCCTAGGATTTCTTTCATGAGACAGAGGCGATCTGCTGATCTGCTGGGCTGAGGACAGTCCATCTTTAGAGGAAGCAGGGACACCAGACAGTGGCCGCTCTGGAGGCCCCGCCCCCTGCCTTTGTGCTGAGCCCCTCTCTCCTGGCTGGGCTCGCAGCCCCTGGACTCCAGCAGGGATGCCACGCCCCCCAGCTGGGCGGGGGCACTGGGTGGGCGTGTCCAGTGGTTCACTAGAGGATGAGTGTCCAGGGTGCACAGTGCGGTAGGCAGGAGGACAAAAAGCCCGGGGAGAGAGAGGAGAAAGCAAAGAGAGGGAGAGACAGGGGAGAGGGGCTTCATCACCAGATGCGCATGCGTCAGAGCGCGCCTCCCCGCGGGGCCCACTGTATGGGCCACGCTGGACCACGTGGACGGAGCCACGCCCCGTCCCGTTCAATCTGCGCTCTCACGAACCCATTTCACAGATGAGCAAACTGACCGCCACGCCTCTTCTGTCTGTTGGCCTCACAAGCGAATCTCAACTTTGGGCACGGGGCGTACGCTCTCATGGGCAGCTACTGACATTCCCTCTGTCCCCCTCTTTTCTAAATGAACAGGGGAGGCCACGTCATCTGCACAACTTCCAAGCCCAAGGCTGGGCCTGCCACCAGCTGCAACATGACTTTGGGGGCTGTCAGCTTAGGCTGCGGGCAGGTGCATTTGGCTACCGGGGGACAGCGATCACGTAGATAGGATGGTATCGTCTAATCACAGAAGTAAAAGTGTGTCAGTGCGGGTGCCTCCGGACCTCCACAGTGGCATGGCGGGTGGACCGAGGTGGGCGCTCTGGGCCTGCAGAACGCCCCTCTCCCTGGTTTTCAGACCTTGACCTGGACAGGGCCTCTCAGAGTGCCCACCCCGCAGCCACAGTGTTGGCCCAGGGAAGGGCGCAGGAGGCGCTCGCTGGATTCCTACAGGGTGAAGCCTCTCGGGACGCTGGCCTCGTGCAAGTCTAGCACTACCAACAGCCAGTCCCCAGGTGGGCAGAGAGCCGCGTTAGGACAAGCAGCCAAGACAGGGGTGGGCAGAGAGCAGCGTTCCAGAAGGAGACTGTGGTGAGTTGACAAAAATCGCGTCCAGGGAGCCCTTCTACAGCCTGGTGACATGGCCTAGTGCATTTTCCTCTTTATTAAAGCTGGTTCTGGGGGCCTTTTGTCCTTTGCCATCAGCGGGGCGTGACCAACCTGCGCCGACACCCAACTGGCAGAGCTTATCCGGCAGTGATGGTCTCAGATCCCCCGAGCCCAGCCCATCCCCTTCCAGGGACCGCAGTGACAGGGGCGCTACCTGCAGATTCCTCCCATGACCCTGGAGGGGTTGGGAGAGGCTGGGTCCCTCAGAGAAAAAACAGGGTGTGTTTATGCAGCCACTGTCCCCACAGCCTGGACTTTGGAGTGCGGGGCCACCCTCACCTTTCCCTCCACTGGGCTGAAGTGTCCCACAGAACAAAGACTTGACTGACCTCCACCTCCTTATCTGTGGACAGGGGGAGGGACAGACAGACTCAGGGTCCTGGGTACTAGGGCCTGATGAGTCGGCAGAGCCCTGGGGGCCGGGGTGTGGATAATGAGTCCATTTCCTACGGGTCCTGGGACAGATCTGGGGACGCCTTTCCCACTGGCGTCTGGTAGAGGCTGCCACCCACCCTACCACTGTCCCTGTCCTGGGGGTTTTACGGCCTCTGCCGACCCCTTCAGCTCTCTTCTGGGGCCCCCTCCCCAAATCCCAGGCCACTGGAGGGTGGATTCTATGGCCAAGTTTCCAGCTATCAGCTCGTCTCCATGGTGACCGGCTGCTGGAGTGGCCAGGCTTCCAGAACCAGCGTCAGGAAGCCTCCCGTGAGGGGCATCTGATCCTTCTTTCTTAACTTTGTTCTGCGGCTCCAGTTCATCTTTAATAAAATAAGGCTTTGCTGTCTGTGAGCAGGGCCGTCTGTCCCCAGGAGACGAACACACACTGACCTGCACCCCCTCACCAGTCCCTGGTAAGTGGATTTGCGACAGGCGGCGTCTCCCTGTCCTGCAGTCAGGCAGGTCTGGCTTCAATCCCCAGGACCAAGCTGCAGGAAGCTCTGAATGTCACTCGGGCTCTTGGAAGTATGATTTTTCTCCCAGAAAAAGTGAAAATAAAATATTCTACTATGTTATGGATTGAATTGGGTCCTCCTCACCCCCAAAGAAGATATGTCAGAGTCTTAATCCCCAGTATCTCAGAATGCTGCCTTGTTGGAAATAGGATCCCGGCACATGTAATTGAGTCCCAAGGCCAAACTGGAGGACAGTGAGCCCCAATCCGATAGGACTGGGGTCCTTACAAGAAGATGGCCATGTGGGGCCGGGTGACGTGCATGGCACACGCCTGTGGATCTCAGTAACTCGGGAGGCTGAGGCAGAAGGATCGTGAGTTCAAAGCCAGCCACAGCAACTTATCAAGGGCCTAAGCAACTGAGCAAGACCCTGTCTGTAAATACAAACCCTGTTTCAAAATAAAAATAAATAAATAAAAAGGTCTGGGGATGTGGCTCAGTGGTTCAGTGCTCCTGGGTTCAGTAACTGATACCAAAACAAAAACAAAACAAAACAAAACAAAACCTGGGCACAGTGGTGCACAACTGTAATCCCAGAAGCTTGGGAGGCTGAGGCAGGAGGATCACAAGTTCGAGGCCAGCCTCAGCAATTGAACAAGGCCCTGAACAACTTAGTGAGACCTTGGTGAGACCCTGCCCCCCAAATAAATAAGTAAGTAGGGCTGGGAATACAGCTCAGTGGTAAAGCACCCCTCCTCCGCCTCAGCCTGTGGCAGGGTCTCCATTGCCTACAGCTCAAGCCCTGCATCACTGCGTCCAGTAGAGACCAGCTGCTACTAAGAATGACAGCAACGATTCAGGGACCTGTGTTCATGAGCCAGAAGATGGGATAAGCATTTACACAAGTCACTAAGCTATGAAGAGCAAATACAACTTAATGGCATGTAGTAGTTGCTCAAGAAAGGCTTATTAGTAGTAGCAGCAGCAGCAGCGTATAGCAATCCTTCAGTATCTGAAGGTGTGGACCCACAGATATGGAGGGACAGTCACAACTCCTCCTGCTCACCTGTACCTGTGAGAGGGCTCCCCCCAGGCAGACCCCAGGAGCACCCCCTGAACATCTGTAACCACTCGGTGCCAGGCCTGGGGGTGCCAGGTGCTTCCCGGGTGGCATCTCACTGAACTCTCAGACCGCCTGGGGGGAAGGGATCTTTATCCCCATTTTACAGATTTCAAAACCGAGGCACAGGGAAGAGAAGCCGTTGGCCTGGGCCTTGGCGGGAGAAAGGACTTTCTGTGAGCTGACTGTCCGTGGAACCCAGGGCTGGTTTCCCTCCTCTTCATTTATGCCCCTGACCATCCAGCCTGAGTTCTGGGAACCTCGTCTGTGTTAATCTCAGGATGGCCAGGGTTGCTGGGTCTCTCCCCAGCATGCCCGTCAGGTGCCAGTGGACTTGGGGTGCATCACAGAGAGCCAAGCGTCCAGGCCAGGGAGATCTGATTTAAACCCCAGGGCTACTGCCGCCCAGAGCCAGCGTCTCTGCTCCTTCGAGCCTCAGTTTTCACATCTATTAACTGGGCACAGGATTGTAAGTGTCCGGTTCAACCCCATGGAATTCAGTGAAAATCAGAGTAAACCACCTTTTCCTGCGACAGCTGAGAAATGCAGCGAAACAAGCCCAGGGCAGTGATGTCCCCTGAGGACAAATGCAAACTCCACAAGCTGTGCAAACTTGCCCAGGCTGCTTAACCTCTCTGAGCTTCATTTTTTTTTTTTCCCTCTGCGGAGTGGGGGCGAGAGTGAAATCTCCACCATGTCGCTACAAGCTTAGGACACCTGCTTCCTAAAGGGCATGGCGCTAGGGTGCTGTCACCCTCCGGTTGTGTCCCTCGTCCCCTGCCGGCTCCGCGCGGGGCTCTTACCTCGCTCCTCCTCCTTCTCCCGGAGGACTCTCCCCTTGAGGGCTCGGCTCCAGGCTCCCCCGTAGTCGCCCAGCTTGGCTCTCTCGTGGGCGTCCTTGCCCTTGAACGAGGGTCCGTACCTGCGCGCGATGCTGGACGCTTCGCCGTCGCGGAAGCCCCTGCCCAGGTGCAGGTCGCCCAGGAAGGGCAGCTCGTGGCCCCCCGCGGCGGGGCTGGCCTGGCCCTGGGAGGCGGCGGGCTGACCCCCGAAGCCCGAGTGCAGGAAGACCAGGCTCCCGGCCGCCAGGTAGAGGGCCAGGAGCGAGAGGAAGCGCAGGGGCTTCCTGCGGCAGGAGCGCTGCACCTTGACCCAGAGCTTGGCCATGGCGCGGGCATTCCGGACCCACTGGCTGCTGGGCGGCTGGGGAGGCGACAGGGGCGTGGCTTTCCGGGCTTCCCCTAGGGACAGGACCCCCGGGGGTCCTCAGTCTTCCTCCCTCTGCAAAGGGGGTAGCCCAGGCCTGAGGCCCAGGACACGTCCAGCTCTTGGTTAGGCCAAGGGAGAGGTGGCCCAAGGTCAAGGTGGGCTTCTTGTGGCCAAGCCAGGGGACGCGCGGGAGGTGGTCCCATCTCCCTACATCTTGTTCTTCACCTCGGAACTCCCCCCCAGTGGCTCTGAAAGTGGCAGTTCGGCAGAGGTTCCGCTCCTCAGGCCTGTGGGAGCCGGGTGACTTCACCCAGGGCTTGGATTCTGGCCTTATCTCCCAGCCAGGGGCCAGGCTCCCGGGGTCCACCCTCTGGGGTCAGAAACCGGTGGGCCTCCAACTGTCAAGCATCGGGACACAGGGCAGCCACCTGCAAAAGAGCACAGAACCCGGCATGAGGAGCCCCTCTCCAAAGACAGAACCAAGGGGGTCTTGAGCATCCTTCGGCGGGGACAGAGTTGGTTGCAGGACCCAGCCCCCACCCCACAGATAGCCAAATCCACAGATGCTCCAACCCCTTCTAGAAGATGGTGCCGTATTGGCAGAGAACCTGCACACAACCTCTCAAACACTTTAAATCATTGCTACATTGCTCTGATACTTCACGCAATGTCAATGCTATAGAGACAGTTTTTATACTGTATTTAGAGAAAAGGGACAAGAAATAAGTCTGTGCATGTGCAGAACAGCAAAATCATGTTTTCGAGTGTTTTCCATCCATAGTTGGTCGGATCTCTGATTGCAGAACCTGCAGATACAGAGACCGACTGTGCTCTGCCCCACGCTTCTTCTATCTTTGTCAAATATGAACATCCATATGTGGGTGAGGTCCCCAAGGCATTTCCCAGTTCCTGATGAACTACCCGCTGGGCCCAGCTGATTTTGAATCTGCTCAGATTCATTCATTTTTTCCCCCCAACAAATATTTAAGGAGAGCCGTCCTATGTGTCCAGAACTGTCCGAGGCTGGGAGCCAGAGAGACCAAAGCCCTTGGCTCACCAGCTTCACTATCTAGGGACAGAAATGGAATCCACAGGTCCCTCTCCTCTACCTGAAGAAGAAAGGGACAGTGGCATTACTCAGCAACACATTCGTTCATTCAGCTTTTATTGAGTGTCTACTGTGTGCCCGGCTTTGTGCCAAGCCTTCTGCACGCATCTCCTCATCCTTCTCATCAGTCCTACGGGGGCGAGCGTCTCCCTAGTTCACAGATGAGGAAACTGAGGTCACACGGCTTGATGGAGGCAGAGATGGGATTTGAAGCCAGATGTTCTAATGCCAAAGTCCAGCTCTTACTCATGGGCTTTTGGCCTCTGCCTTTCCCCCACATGATCTGGACATCGCTTGAGAACTCAGAGACGGTTCCCAGAGCTGCGAGCCATCTGTCCCTTCTACCAGTTACAGACAGAAGCTCGTCTTTTTTCAGGGTCTCTCAGACAATGGCCCGAGGAGCATTTGATTCTGAATCACTGGGGAGCCTGGCCCACAGGAAGGTTCCTGACCTCTCTGGTCAGCGCCTCTGGTTAGCAAGCTGCCCTCGGGGATGGAGTGAGGACAGAGTCCAGGGCCGCTGCTGTAGGAGTCAATGTTCAGGATCGTCAGCCGGGAAGAGGAGCTGGGTGTGAATCAGAAAGCAGAAGAGGGCCTCGGGGAAATCACAGCATGGCCGCCCGAGGCCCATCTCAGTCAGGGCCACTGGACGGGAGCTCTGACGCGAGACGGCCCCTCCAGATCCACACAGCAGCAGGGGAGTTTAACTGTGGCTTGGAGGCCGCCCGCCCGTCCACTACGGAACTGAGTACCGAGCACTTCCTATGCACCAACCACCTCCTAGGCATTTGGAATAGATCAGTGAACAACACAATAAAAAAGACAGGCCCTGAGCAGTCAGTCTGTCCACCCAATCATCCATACTTCTGTCTGTCTATTCAGGCATCCATCATCCATCTACCCATCCATCAACCCATCCACCCATCCACCCATCCATCACACCATCCTCCCATCCATCACACCATCCTCCCATCCACTCATCCACCCATCCACCCATCCATCCATCCATCCAAACATCCACCATCTCTGTCCACCCAGGCATCCACTTTCCTCCCATTCATTTAAAAATGCCTGCTGGTTGCCGACTATGTGTGAGCTAGGAATGAGGACTAAGTAGCTCAGAGTCTGCTTTCGGGGAATCCAGAGTCAACTAAGGGCGAAGGCCATTTAAATAGTAACCATACCAGATAGACAAGGACAAGTACCCTAGTGGAGAGCAGCACTGAATATCAACAATGTTTATTGAGCACTTGATATGTGCCATAAATTGTTCTTCTACACAGCTGCGTGCTCTGATTTAATCCATTGGTCGCATCATCCCTGATGTGAGACACCTGTGAGAACTTACAGAACATGTAAAGAGATGACAATAACAACAATATAATCCCATCAGAGTGCAATAATCATAATGTAATAAGATTAGTTAATATAATATCTATGTAAGCTCTGGATCGTCATTTCCAGCTTATTTGAAGGCACCAGTGTCACTTTTGTTGAACTAGTCTCAGAATTGAAAACTTGGGACTTCACTGGCGAGTGAGTCCCTGTCACAATGCCACGCGGGCGAGCTGTCTCTGTTTTGCGTGGCTGGGGAATGAGTGTCAGAGAGCCTGAGTCACTCCTCCAGAGCCACACAGCAGGCAATGGCCACTGGGCTGCAGATCTAGGGCCACCCGACTGCAAAGCCCATCTTCCCAACCACGGCCTTCTTTCGACCCCTTTGAAAATGACTACTAGAGCCACGTGTCCAGACAAGGGCCTTTGCCCATCAATTCCCAGATTTTGGCTTCAAATCTCAGGAGGCTGTGGCCCTGCTGTGGAAAGCTCTGGAAGGCGGGAGTTGGAGCAGTGAGGGTCGGTAACGGCCTGGGGGACCCGGAAGGGCTTCCCCAGGGCGAAGTCTTTGATAGGGCAGCTCTTAAGAGAGAAGAGCAGTCTCCAGAGAGGAGCAAAAGTTCTCTGGGTGAAGGACAAAGGGCCGAGCGAGCTCAGGGAGCCTGGCAGTGCCTGGCTGGGGGGGTGGGGGGTGGGGGGGGTCCAGCCTGCGTCACCCACACCTCAGAAAGACCGGGATCCCGCCATCCGGACCACTCTAGAGATGTGCGGCATCCCCAGTGTCCCCAGACGTCACCCACGTGCCAGATCTTTCCACAGAAGAAGCCGGGAGGGGACGGGTCACCCTGGCTTCTGCAGACACTCGGCTGGAGCCTCAGCCCCGGGGGGGGCACAAGCCGCTCTGGGTTCAAACCCGGCCCCTTCTGGCTGAGCGCCTTGGGCAAGTCACCGCTGCTCACTGACCCCCGGGTCCCCCTGCTGTCAAGTGAGCCAAAGGATCCCCGCCCTAAAAATTAAATTGCTGAAAGGATTGAAAGAAAATGGTAGAGAGGCTGGGCACAGTGGCACCCCGTCATCCCAGCAGCCCGGGAGGCTGAGGCAGGAGGATCGCCAGCCTCAGCAAAAGGGAGGCCCTGAGCAGCTCAGTGAGGCCCTGTCTCTAAATAAAACACAAAATAGGGCTGGGGTGGGGCTCAGGGGTCGAGTGTCCCTGAGTTCAATCCCTGGTCCCCCCAAAAAAAACTAGCTCTAAAAAATGGCAGGAGGCTGTTTGGCAGAGGGGATGCTCAGGGAAAGCCCCCGCCCGCTCTCCCCCTGCAGCCTACATGGAGGAGCCCTGGGGGTCGCTGGCCACATGAGCACTTGGGCTGGCGGTCAGAGGTCCCTGTGGCTTTGTGCCTCTGACACTATTTCTGGTCTGGCCTCTTTGGTGGCTCCCTGGTTCTTTTACATTCCGACACAGCTTTGCTCTAAGTGGGTGCCAAATGGGCTTGGAGAGGACTCTGAGCTCCTTAGCAGCTGGCAGGGGGGGGGGAAGGCAGGGGACAGGGAGCAGGGCTGTGCCGCCCTGCTTTCAGAGTCCCCTTCCCTCCCCAGGAGAAAGATGCATGGGGGTGAGCAGAAGGAGAGTGGGCTCCCCCCCACCCCAGGGCTCAAACCAACAACCATGGCTTCATGCCATTGCCAACACACTCAGGTGACGGCCTCGGGGGGGGGGGCTGCAAATTCAGGGCTCTGTGGAGGCAGGATTTATGTCATTCAGTGCTGGGTGGCTCTGGGGTTCCACAGTCCACTATCATCCAGGGAATCCAAAGACTGTCCTGTGTCTCTGTCTCTGTTTCTTCAAGTCTCTCTCTCTCTCTCTCTCTCTCTCTCTCTCTCTCCTCTCTCTGCCCAAGAGAATGGGGAGACCAATCCATGGACCACGGATGCGCAGCCTTTAGTCATTGCTGTCTGGGTCCCAGCTGGGGCCTCCCTGAAACGCAGCCTGTTTTTAGCACCAGCAGGAGCCTCTGGGTTGAGTGGCCAAGAAAAAGACAGACCAAGTGGAGCTGCCCTGCAGGGGGGACCAAGAGGAGCCCCTGCCCTGCAGCTGGGAATCCTGGTTTGGCTAGATTTGATGTCTTCGGAGGGCTGCACAGGGGACCCATCGGGGACACTTCCAAGACACGGGGAGCCCAGGCCAGAGGTGGGATCTCAGCCTCAGCCTGATACACACTGTTTGCTGAACACTTACTACGTGCTGAGCATCTCACCCGCTGTTGAGTGCTCTTCACAAACCTCCAGGGGATGGCGACTCACCCCTGTGGCCCTCAGCTTCCCGTCTAGAAGGGGGAAATAATAGTATCTATCCCTGAAAGAGGTGTGAGGACTGAACAAGTTAATACAGGCAGATGTAGGGTAGAATGGCTTCTCCTAATGGCCTCTCCTGACCAGCTCCTGCCTCTCTCCTGCACCCTGTAGACAAGAATTAACAGAGTGGAAATGAAATTGCCAGGTCTTTCTGTATGTGTGTATATATATATTACTATATTCCCAGCCATTTTTATTTACTTATTTTAAAAATATTTTTTGGGGGTACCAGGGATTGAACTCAGGGGCACTCGACCACGGAGCCCCATCCCCAGCCCTATTTTGTATTTTATTTAGAGACAGGGCCTCACTGAGCTGCTTAGCACCTTGATTTTGCTGAGGCTGGCCTGGAACTTGTGATCCTCCTGCCTCGGCCTCCCGAGTTGAAGGGATTACTGGCACTTTGCCACGGAGTTGGCCCCATGAGCATCCTCTGACGATCTTAATAATGATTGGTTTGTTTTCCAACGTGCCTCTTGGTGTTGCTGTCCCCATCCGGCAGACATGGAGCAAACAGGTGCGTGTCTATGCCCCTTTACCTGAGAGTTTTTCTCTGACACTGGAGATGCTCTCTGGGCCCCTGCGCCTGACCTGCTGGGCGTGGTTGGGAGTTAGCATTTGGAAGCAGCTGGG